CAAGGAGCTCAGGATGCTGTTGTTTTGATCCCCTTTGTAAGCTGGAGCCTTACAGATGAGATGAACCCATCTTTCTCCCAGAAAGACTGCCAACACCCCCAAGTCCCTCTGTGGGCACTCTACTAGTGTACTGCAGTGCCAGGTAAGGGGCAGTGGAAGTGGCAGTGCTGGTCACTGCTGGCTATTCTGCTGGAAGCGGGGTTCTCTGCCAAGTGGTATTACAGCTCAAGGCAACTAGCACTACTCAAGTGTATTCCCAGAAGCCTGCTCCCTGCCTGTTCCATGGAAACTAAATCATAGCGTGGCATCAACTGGCCAAGAAAACCAGCAGTCTCACGCCTACTTCACATCCTTCCCTGGTGTCCACCTGTTCCACCAGGGATGCACCTCAATTCCAATTGCCTTTCAACAAACTACACTAGTGGCCCTTTTTTTCCTGGTCACAAAGTGCATGCTGCCTTTCACAACCCAGATTTCCCAGTGCAAAGAATTAGGGTTGGAACTCTCTGGAGGGCAGCTCTAATCTTTATGTTTTTATCTTGGCCCTGTTGTTTTTCATTCAGCCTTGGATGATGCTTAATAAATCAGCAAGACATTTGCAGAAAAGCAAGTCTAAGAGCATATTGGAAAATCCACTGTAACAGGACCCCGGTTACTCACCATAGGATTTACCAGGCCCCCATGGCTTCCAGCCGAAAGTTAAATAGCCCCAGCACGCTCAGCATCCCAAGATGATAGCAGAGGGACTCGTGTGCTCCTCATGTCTCCCTTTCAAGGGTGCTTCCAGTCACTGATTGTATCACCTTTTTTCCAGGCACCAGGATTATGGGGACTTTAAACAGCAGCTCAGTGCCTGGTATTGTTGCTTTAGCTGAGAGGCAGCTCTGTGTGGCTATAAGACGGCATAGAGCCCCTAGCATCCTATAGAGCATCTCTGAGCCACCTTCATTTTCAACACAGCTGTGCAGCCTGTAGAAAGCCTGGCCCTGTATCCAGAAGATTCAGCCTGAGGAGGAACATAGTATGGTGGGAGCTGACATCTCTGTGTGCTGTGCCTGCAGTGGAGAGCAGCTGTATTTCAGGTGTGGCCCCTAAGGGACCAACACTCAACCTGGGGAATGTCAGGTTGGGCACAATTTGAGCATAAGTCCTGTTTCAACCCTTCAGTCTCTTACATTCCCACAGCACCAGTAGTCCTCAGTGAGAAGGGGCTGCCTCTCAAAGAGCTCCCAGTCAGATGGGCACATGCACTGCCCACAACCTACTGGATCCAGCCTGAGTGCCAAGCTGCCTTTTCACCAGGGAGAGAGAAAGGAAAACCAAAGGCAAGATCAGCAGCTGAGCCAGACATGGGCCATGTCCCTAAGCTTCATGGCTGGGTGACTGCTGGGAAGTGTAGCTATCCAGCTCCTAGCCGTGTACAGTTTTTGTTTCACCCTCCATTAATTTGGCAGGGATACTCTCCCTCAACCTCACCCCATCACCCTGGTTTAGCCTGGTCACGAGTGTCTAGGAGCAACTCAGGTGAAATCTTCAGTCCTGCGGTGGTTATAGGGAGGTCACTTAGTATCTTAATGCCTCAGTTTCCTCATTGGTAAAGGAAATAACAGGTCTCCCAGGACCCTGAAAAGGGAACATGTTTAAGGTGTTTTGTGTAGGTAGAAGCTCTGGAACTATACACTGAGAACAAGGAAATCTCCACATCCAGGTTTTGGAGCAGCCTCCTGCCACACAAACAGGACTGGCCCAAAATCCTGGCTCCAAACTGTCTGAAGTAGTGCACAGGTACTCCTAGCTCAGGTCATTCTGTTATGTGCTTACACTGGCACAGCGATTAGTCTGTGAGGCCTTGTGAGGCCAGTCTGGTCATGCTTTCCGGGATGCTGGTGTTCAGGAGGGAGCCCCTCTCAGAAGGGCACTGAGCCCTGCAACTGCTTCCAGTGTAGACAGTTTGTCGAAGGCGCCTGATGCCAATGCACTGTCTGTACAAACTGTTCTCTCAGGAAGTCTGTGTTTAACTGCAAAGAGAGTCAGAGGTTAGGTCCCCAGCAGAAGAGCACTCCCTTTTACTCTGCTTCCTTTCATAGTGAGGATTTTCTGCACAGAGTAAAGAACAAAGGGAGAGGAGAAAGGAAATCTGCAGGTGGCTGCAAATCTTCTCAGATATGGAGAACTGGAAAAACATGGGTTTCTCCTGCTCCTCTGTAGGAAGAGCTGTTAAGTTCTATGGCCAGTCCTGGACTGTGCTTAAGTTTGGTCTAGCATAGATACCACTTGCTTCTGTGGTAATGGGTGGAATTTAATTTCTCCATTAGCTTGTCTTGTAAGGCAGAGATTTTCCCCTTAACAGCTAATTTACAGTAAGATCCCCGCCACACACCTCCAAGGATGCCTCAGGCCCAGCACAACACTTTGATGAGAGGATAGTACCCACACAAGGCAGGCTACCAGCAAACAGCCCTTACTGTCAGCCAAGGCAATCAAATATCATTTGCTTTTGCTGTCTCTATTTGATGTTAGCATGACCAGCTCTTCCATGTGGACTGTGAGCTACAAACTGAGGCTATACACTGAATAGCAGCTGGAGATTTGTGTGTATGACAGTCCTATAATGGCTGGGCCTACAGAAAAGATAAGGGACATACTACTGCTGGCAACTGATGTTGTTCTATATTTGAAATGTTAGGGGCTTGAAGTCCTAGGCTGTAGTCCTTGCTCTTCCTGGCTCCTCCTGATTTATGTAGGAATTGTGGCTTTTGGTAACAGAACACCCATTTTTCTAGTGCCAGGGGATATACAGATGAGTTTATCTGAGGTACCAGGAACTTTAAGAATATAACAACCATCCTGGTAATCAGCAAAGATAGAGAGAGAGGCCCTGGGGAAGAGTTGAGATGCACCAAATTTAGCAGGTGCTGAACTGTTGTGTTCTGTTTAGCCACTTTGGGTGGCTGTTATCATGCTATCACCAGCATGAGAGAGAGTCAGTGTCAAGTATTGGATAAGAGGTTTCCTGGCCACCCCTAAATGGCTTCCCTGCTGAGCCTGGGACAGCCCTGACCCCTTACTTGTGCTCCAAATACATCAATTTGGAGCATGGATGGCTCCGAGTGGGTAGGACTTATCTCCTCATTGCTGGCTTTGTGCTCAGTAAGGCGACAGTCTGTACTGTCCACACATGCATTAATGCATTAGAGGAACACTTTTCCTAATGCACTTTCCTAATGCACATTAAATTTAATACCTCCAATGTGAGGTACTAAATTAATACACATTAGGCTGCCCTAACACACAATACCAGAAGTGCATGTTTTTTAAGTGACACTTAATACACAATAGCTTATTTTACAGCACATAAGCATAATTGCATGGTTTTTTATGTGGCACTTTAATGTGCAGTAAAATAAGCTACTGTGCATTAAAGTGCATGTGTAGATGTGCCCTGTATAGACCATAACTCCTGAGATAGCATCTGATAACAGTGCAGTGGGGATGGAGGCAAGGGCTTGAAAGTATGTGTCCAAGTGCAGCATTTTCAGTAGCCAGCATCCCAGGCACCAGTGCCAACTTACCCATCCAAGACCTTCCCTGTAATGCCCAGTGCCCACCACACATTTGTTCAGTGGTGCACACCCCACAGTTCAGCAGAGCTACCACTGCTCCACCCCATACCATCAGGACCACAAGTAATGAGGATTCAGTCAGCAGGCACTCTTCATAAACTACCTGATCCTGTGCAATGCTGGACACCTGCCAGGTACTGGGTACCTTCAGAGCTGTACACACCCAATACTTTGTTTCACTGGGCCCTGTGGTAAGAACCAGTTGCACAGAGCTGCCCTATCAACATCTTTTATGCACTGTGTGAGACGTACATTGAGCACTAATTAGAAGACACCATACCTGTCATTAGCTAGGTAAGTGTGGTAAGATCAATGTCAATAAGGTCAAGTGAGGTAGTAATCCCATCAGAGATGGGTCAGAGTGTGTGTACATTTTAGTGAAGGGGGGAAGGAAATAGCAAGAGGGGAAAATCAGTTTCTCTGTCCACAAACAATAGCCAGCTGCAATATTTTATGTCTCCTGGGTACAGGCTCCATGTACACTGTGCAGACACTGTAAGAGCCAAAAATTTCCCTTGGGCAGTTCAGACACTGGAGCTAAATGTAGAAAATGTTCCTACATGGTGGAAAACAGAGCCTTCCACATGCATTTGTGCAGCAATTCTTACAGGTAACTTGTTTGTTGCTTCCTGCATCTCTCTAAAAGGGGACTCTCTAGCAGGTCTCTCTAAAAGTCCACCTGAGATGATCCAGTGCCTCTCCTGATCCTGGGTGTTTCTCCTTAAACCTTCAGAGTATATCATTATTGGTGGGGCTGGGCTGTAGTAACGCTCACATGAAGATTGCCTAGCATAAAGGCCTCACATTGGATTAACTTGGCCTGTATTCCTTGTTCTTAGAAGCACTGGGGTTTTACAAAATCCCTGCTGGAGCTTTCCACAGAACATGCTTGCTTTCTCTCCTACCATTCCCAGTGCTCCTGGGCAGGCTGGGAAGAGTGCAGGAACTCAGCTCCTTATGTGTTTTGAATCATGTCCACAACCTGGCAGCACAGGGCAGCAGTCACCATGGAAAATGATCTGTAGAACAAGTTTGCTTTGGGAATCTGGGGAACACCCCAGTTCAGCCTGGAAAGACTTAGCTAGCATGGTTTATTTTGTTTTTCCAATCTAAAGGATCTTTCCTATGTACTACATACACGCAGCAGGTGCTTTGGAGAGCTGTCACCCCAATAGGCAATGGTCCCTGTGTTGGATGAGAGAGAATCAACTGCAGTACCTCCAGCCTGCAGTGCAAGGGTAGGTTTGGAACAGTGTTTCATATGCTCCTTCCCATGAATTTGCCATCACCAGACATTTTGTTTCAGTCCAGAGATATCAGAAGGAAACTTCTCTGCTGCATCCCACAAAGGGGATCACACCAAAATCCTGTCCACAGCTCCAGGAGTGACAGACAGAACCAGCTCAGGCCAAAACTGTGATCCACTTCTGTGGGCATCTGAGCAGGGAGACTTCATCCATCCCTTCTGCTTCAAGGTCACCAAGGCCAGTAGAAACAATATGTTGACCTGACAGAACCATTGCAAACCCCTAAGAAGCAGGCAACAGACTTTATATATGTGGGCTTTCTGTGGGTGGCCCAGGGTGGAAAGGGGTTCTTCGATGTTTGTTGTTTTTTCCTCATCAACATCTTGGATGGAGTCCCAGGGAAGCCACCTTGTTGTCCACTGTCTTCATCATAGCCACATCTCCTCACGCTCCTGCTCTGCTCTTCATAGGGTATCGTTGTCATCATCAGGCAGAGCAGGAGACCCCACTCCTCTCGCCAGCATCTAGCGCGACATCGAGCGTCAAAATTTTAAAAAGCACAAAATACAAAGGGACTGAAGGAACCTTTGAAACAGGGTGAGATGTTTTATAAATGTTCCCCCATCCACCCCGCCCCTCCCTCCATGTTACCACTAGATTCTCAACGTGGATTATTTCATTCAAATAAAGCTGCAGTACTCAAATGAGAGAGCATGTGTGTCCATTTGTGTTGGGTGCCAGGAGAGGTTATTTCTATCTGTGTCTATCAGTGCATAACCATCCTGGGGCATGGGGCACTGATCTGGGGAGTTCAGGTCTGGGTGTGCTGCTAATAGTGGTGCTTAGTGTTGAGAGAACTAACTGACACACATTGGAGGGTCTGTTCATCCCAGGGCAGAGGCCCTCACTTCGCTGATGTGCCCACAATTGGTGGCATTGACTCTCTTTCTTTCTCAAACCTCCCCCTCCTGTCCTAGCGCCCAGCCCTGCAGTTACAGAGGTTACTGGTTGCTGCTTTTGCTAAGCAGTAGCCAGTCTCATCTGGTCCCTTACATAGGTCTCTCCTGTGAAGGACTGGGCAGCAGCTTGAAAGCAATTCTAGTTTGTGAAACAAGCAGGGAGCTGTCCAGCTTCATCGCAGCAATATAGCCCTCCCACCCAATGCTGCCCCCTCCAGAGGCACCGGCCAGAGACGAGTTACTGTATGTCTTGAACCTTACTTCATAGATACTGGTGTTAATACCTCTGGCCCTTACCCACAACAGGTTCTCAGATGAAGATGTCTGCTTCCTTCAAGATATACTCAGCTATCCCAGCCAGACTCTGTATATATAGCTTCATGTGGGCACTGTGCCTGGAGCTCTGTCTGGTCTACCACCTAGGAGACATGGGCCTCATTCCTGAGCATGGGTTTGTACTCCCTGGGATGGCAGGGGCTGGGAGCATTGGCTTGGGACTTTGTAGAAGCCAAAGCCATATCTAATAAATACGCATCCAGAAAACAAATGGCAAGCACTATGGGTATCTCTGATCCCATCGTGAGCCAGTAGGCTATGTAAACTGTCTACCTTTGTAATATCCATTGTAATAAACCAGTACCACCTAGGACTTTGTTGTTGTCTCTGTATCACGTACCGTGGGCACATGGAATTGGATGGTATTGACACGGAGCCTCCTGGTCCAAAAGTGCAGCCCCCAAGCACTTTCACTACAAGACTGTCTCTGTTACCAGCACCAGATGCGACTCCCAGCAGAGCCATTCTGATTTCATCCAGCAGAGAGCAGCAGTGTACACATACTGATTCATTGAGTCTATAGGTGGAGCTGGCCAGGACACCTATAATTAAGGCTGCCTGACATTTTCCATTATAAGACCCTGTTTTCAGTTAGTTAAAGCTTTACGAACATTAACTGTTCCAGCTGACATTCACACGCCTGCTTCAGAGGGTTTTTCTCTTTTTTAAGTTTCAACCAAAAAGGCTCAGGGGGGAAACATATTGTTTTGCCCAGGTAAACAATTCTTACAAGTGGGGAGACAGCCTCACTCCTATTGCATGAGGGCCAGGGACTTGAAATGTATCAGATGGTCACACTGGTCAGGCAAGTGCCTTTTGCCAAACCCCATGTAAATCCATTCAACTCAGAAGCCACTGAGAAGTTGCCCTTTGCCCACGTTAACCAGAGGCTTAAACTGAGCAGCAAAAGTTTTTAAATTGTCTGTTCCAGCTGAACATGACCCAAGCTCACAGAGCTTCATGCTAACCACACGGAGCATGCTCATTACCAACTGCCATCAATAGGACGGCATACCATGGTACCTCTTGGGAACCAGGAGATGCTGTGGGCCAGGCACTAGAACTGAGAACAGGGAAGACCTCTGTCTCTTCTATGCTCACAGGCTGCAGGGGTTGGAAAGTTTAGAGTGAATGAGGCAGGGGACTGCAGGGAGAAAAACGTGGCTTCATAATTAAGGAAGTTGAATATATGTCTAGAGATGTAAATTCTGACCCTACCATGGAGTTCCTGTGTGATTCTCGTCAAGTTGTTTAAACCAAACTTTTCACAGCTGGTCAATAACTGTATGTTCCTCATTTTCTGGCTGCCCAACTTGAGACCCTGGGGTCTGGTTTGCAGAAATGCTGAGCGTTCAGAGCTGCAACTGCAGGCAACGGGAGTTGTGCTTTGAATATCTAAAAAGCTATAAAATGCAAGGTACTCTGAAAAATAAGACCCTGGACATCTCAAACCAGGCATCCAGAGTTGGTGGATACTTTTGATAAGGTGGGCCTTCATTTCTTTATGCCCCAGGTGCAAACTGGAGATAACAGTGTCACCTCACCTATGAGGGTGTTACGAAGTGGATTTCATTAAAGTTTTTGAGCGCCATGAATGCAGCAGAGAAAAGTCCATGAGGGAATTAATAAGTTTGTATTCAGTGAAGGGATTGGAGGGTGTACAGTAAATAAGACCTGGGGCTAGAGATGGAGTGATGAGGATAAAAAGGAATATCGACTAACTGCACATTCAGCAAGCACAGTCTCCCATGCACTTACAGAGGTAGGGGCCCTGTGGAAAAAAAATAGCATGTGGTTGTGTAATTAAAATGAATACCAATGCGTACACACAAAGGCCTGAATTCAGGTTACACAGGGAACCTTAGTATTGGCATCTCCTAATGTCTGAGTGCTTGGCTTTGCAACCTTAAGGTACTTGCTGGGATTCGATGTATAAATTCACAGCTGTGGACATACAGAGCATCTCACAACAGGGGAAATGGGTGGTAGCTGCACCCATTTCCATGTGACTGGCCACTTTTCCTGAACCCAGACCTAGGGTTGCCAACTCTGACTGAAGCTATTTCAGGAGAATTTTTTTTCCTTAAAATACCCTATTAAAATCTCCTGGATTGCTTTCAATAGTCACTGGGAGATTGATGCTAATTCTAGTAGACTCCCGGTCAATCCTGGAGACTTGGCAACCCTACCCAGAGCTCTGCCAGATGTTCTTGGCTTCCAGAATTGGAAGAAACTGCAGTTTGTACTTATAACCTGCTTGACTTGTGCCTCTTTTATGTTGGAGTCCTTCATACTCACTCAGGGTCTTTTCCCCTTTCTTAGTAGACAGCAAAAGACAAGGGCTGGGCAGGGACAGGAGCGTCCCAGCACTGTTCTGCAGGAAGGGGAAGGAGGAGAGCAAAGAAGGGACCATTCAAAGAGGATTCTTCTGGTACTGTAGAGCATATAGGACAATACATAATGGAGCACCAGCTGCAACCCCAGTAGCTAAGCTTTAGTGAGGGTCCAGGCACAGAGGTCTGTGGTAGGTGAGTGGTGTACAAAGTACTTGTGTAGATCTATGCAATGGACAGTATGTGCTTCCCTGGGGGTGTGGATGGATGTATGATGTGCAGTTGCAAGTCATAAGATTTTTGCTTTCAGGAAGAGGTGTATGTGCATGTGTGTGCATGCATGTGTGGTGAGAATGAGCCTACATAGGTGTAGGTGTGTGGAGAAAGAGTGCGAGGCTGTGTGTTTGTAGCGGGGGTCGGGTTGAGGCTGTGGAGAGTGGGGTGAGAGAGCACGTGTATGTGGTGAGAATGAGTTTGCATGTGTGCATGAGTGAAAAGTGTGTGGGAGTATGTGAGGGGGTGTGTGAGTGAGAGAAAGAGAGTATATCTGCATGCAAGTGGGGAGGCTGAGGCTATGCGTGTGGGTAATAGTACATGCTGTGCGTACTTGGTGTTCAGTTCTCTATTGATGTGTGTGCCTGTGTGAGTGTCTGTGCATGTGTTAGAGACAAGCAGAGGGGTGGAGCTTGTGGGGAGACTATTTAGCAGATCCTTTTGAACCCCCAATATCAGAGTGTTCTCCCTGGACCCCAACCCCCCAGTAGAAGGACTGTTGTACCTTCTTGTCACCATTTAAAGGTGGGGAAGAAATGGACAGTCTCTCACAAGCCACAGCTCATCTCAGCAAATGCAGCAGCCCCCTGATTTTAACCATCCTGACCTGTTTACTTAAGTCCACAGGAAAAATAAATGACTGGGCGACGCTGAGTAGTGGGGTGAGATTTATGGGCAGCAAAGCAGCACCAGGATTTATAAAGTCAGAGCAAAGTGACCTAAAAACACAGAAGATTGAAAGAGACAGTCTTCAGCTTCAGCCCCTCCCCTGCAGCAGCAGCAGCTAGGGCTGGCCCTTGGCAATGACCTCCCAGTCCACAAGAGGTCTAATGCAGAGCCTGAAGAGACTGGTGTTCAGACCTCACCGGAGCATCCCTGCCTGTCGGACACATGCAGTGCAAAGGGATGTAGATGGAGCTGAGTTTCTTTAGGCTCAGGACCCCAGGTAGAAGAAAAATTCCTCTCTTCACCCTTTTGCTTTCAAGCACAACACAAGCTCTGTTGCAGCCTCACACACAACACATGCACTTCACAGATCCTCATACAAACACACCCCTAGCCCATATATGGGTTCTGTATGTACATCAGCTACACCTTCTCCCACACACCATGTGCTGTTACATACATCCCCCACCACGCTCAGCTCATGCTCATGAATGCCCCACACTCCCCCACCCTAATAAGGTCTCTGACCACCTGTGTCCCCCATACTCCACCGCCTGTCGTCCTCAGGGGAGTTCTCTCTGTAAAGAACAGCTCAGCCCTGCTGTTAGAAAAGAATCTGCTCCTGGTAGGACTTGACACAACCCCATTAGCATCCCCCTGACCTCCTTTCCTGGAGACAAGGGCGGGATCCTTCCCCATAGCATGCCCTGAAGTTTTGCCAGTCTGTTTGGAAAAGCCTCCAGCACCAAGACATCCCAGCTTGGATTCTTCCTGGCTGTCAGTGCCAGGCCTTCTTCCCACTTCCTGAGCTCTGTGCACATGATTCCTGAGCAGCTAATGCAAGGTCCAAGGGCTCCCATCTCCTCTCTCTCCGCCTCTCCTGATGTTCCCCTGGCCTTCCCTTCACACCCTGCTCATTGCATCTGCTGCTATAGCCTCCATAGTCAGACCTGTTTGCCACAGCCCCAAGCAATCGGTGGTTAAAGTTCCAGAAGATGGGCAGAGGGCTGTCAGGAAGGTTGTATATCAGTCTATGTAAGGGAAGGGGGAGGAGAGGGCAGTTTATAGAGTGAAAGAGTCAGCTGGCCTCCTGCCT